CATCACCCTCACCAGTGATTCTGAGATGAAGCGAGCTGGTGTATGTAATCTGCATAGCACCATGTCTGGCCAAAGTAGGTGCTTACTCAAGGTTAGTTCCCACCCTCCCAGTGTCCCTCTCTAGTGCTAGCCCTCAAGTACAAAGATCCTGACGGCTGCTGAGCTGCATTCCCCACGAATGTTTTTGTCTCCAGGGTAAATAGACTCAGTTTAGGTCCACGAATGCACCTTTAGCTCTTTGTGGACTCTCCACTTTGCTGCAGGAGAAGAGATTTCCCTCTGAGTCAGTGATCCTCCTAGTTGTTTACCAAATGGGGGGAAAAAAATCTATCCCTGTCTCCTGTGAAGAGCTTGGGGCCTGCAGTCAGAGCATTGCATGTCTTAAGTTGAGTATTCACATGATGGGGTCTGCCTGCATAAATAGAAACATCCTTCTTACTAGTCATCAAGTTTTCTGTTCAAGAACTATTACACATTTCACAAATCCAAGGGGACAGCCTCAGTCAGATAAGAGTCTGCCAGCTGTAGCTCTGGCTGTGTCTATTGACAGCTGGATTGGCGCTGTGGACTCAGTGGTTTCCCCCGGAAATGCTCAGGAGGGCCCAAGCGCAGCCTTCTGCTCTGGACCTTGGCAGGGCTTGAGGGTGGTTGATCTTATGACTGAGGTTTTTCAATTAATGACCTTGCTCAGTATGAGATATTAAAGGTTGCGTTTTTGTTTTTGTTTTTAACCCAGTACCACATGTTAATGGCTCAGGAGATTTAGGAATATTAAACACTCCCTCTCAGCTCCAAGATGACAACTGATAAATATATAACCGTAAGATACTGAAAACAACAAAGAACGGGAGGAGAAATCTGAGCCCTGGGAGATTAATAAATAATAAGGAGTGAATGCAGTCAAGCACAGATCCCCAGCGGGGCCCATTACTTGGGCTCCTGCATAAAGCCAGGAGAGGCAAGCATGGCTCCTATAATTCTGTTAACACTAACAACTAGTCCTTAAATGCTCTCAGATGCATATAACAGGGGTATTTATATTCTCTTAGCAAGCAGAGTGTTGTTCCAGAATTGTGAACAGTGGTTTAATTTGGAAAATTGGGTAATCTAATCACTAGCTTTTCAACTGCCTTTGTACCTACTCCCTAAGGCAGCCTCCTATACCGTGTGGATCTGTGGTTCTCGATCTGCATCACCCTGAGCCCTCATGTTCCATGGAGGGTCTTTTGGAGGAAGCTGGGTGGGCACAGCTGAGTGAGCTTCTAGACCCTCTCCATCTGCTTCAGTAAGACAGTATGCAAAACAATCTGGAACAAAAGGATTTTTTTGTTGTTTTTTGTGTTGTTTTTTTGTTTTTTTGCTTCAAAAGAGAAACTTGAAACTCACTGGTCCCATGATGTTTACATCCTCTTATAAATTACTTTTCCAGTGCTCACTTCGGCAGCACATATACTAAAATTGGAACGATAAATTACTTTTCCACTCATTGGTATGTTTCTGAAATGTTACTTTGTTAATGTACTAGGTAGAGTTCAGTCATTGTATGAATAAACCACAATATATTCATTCCGCTTCTGGTGGTTATTTAGATGATTCCCCCTTTTTCACCATTTCAAATAATGCTTCAGTGAAGTTGAGGGCATTTTTGGTATCAACAGTGATAGATGGTGAACTCCAAGTTGGTCAAGAAGGGAAGGGACAGCAGGAGGGGCCGACTGGATAGTGAGAATGGGGAGAGAGGGCTAGAAATTGCTTGGACGTGATGAAGGCAGGACCAGATAAGCTATGATAAGGCCCCGAGTCTGATGAGGGACACAATGTGGCATGTAAAAAGCATTTAAAAATTAAGGTAAATTGAATAGGACTGAATTAAATTAAACTAAATTTAATTTTACTGAATCAATGAGATGCTAACCTTGCACATTTTTAACATCATGGTTCCCTTTTCCTTCCCTCACCGCAATGTTAAACCAGCGTATGGTTTTTGGAAGTTTCATGAACATCAAATATAAATTAGACCAAGGATTGAGTTTCTGAAGTGAATAATGAATAATAAATGGTTGCTTATATTAGTATCTCACACAGAAAAATGTTGAGGTTACGAAGATTTTTGTGAAATTCGGATGCCCTTAAGCTCTCAGGATCCACTTTCTTGATATTGTGAGCATTTTTGCTCTCAGAAAATTTTGCTTCCTGTCTCCAAAGGCAAAAGGCAACATACAGAACTTTCAGAACATGTAATTATTCATATGAATTGAAAATAATTTTGATAGGGGTGTCTGGGTGGTTCAGTCCATTGAGCGTCTGGCTCTTGATTTCGGCTCAGGTCATGATCTCCTGGTTCGTGGAATCGAGCCCCTTGTTGGGCTCTGTGCTGACAGCATGGAGCCTGCTTAGGATTCTCTCTCAAGCTCTCTATCTGCCCCTCCCCCACTCATGTTCCATCTCTCTCTCTCTCAAAATAAATAAATAAACATTAAAAAAAAGAAAAAGAAAAAGGGGTGCCTGGTGGCTCAGTTGGTTGAGCATCTGACTTTGAATCAGGTCTTGATCTCACAGTTGGTGAGTTTGAGCCCTGCATCAGGGTCTGTGCTGGCAGCTCGGAGCCTGTTTGGGATTCTCTCTCTTCCTCTCTCTCTCTCTCTCTCTGCCTCTCTGTCTCTCTCCCCTCCCCAAATAAATAATTAAATAAGTAAAAAGAAAAGGAATCATTTTGATAGACATATATCTTTTACATTGCCTTATAATATTGAGTGGAAACAAAATATGAAATCTTTTTGAATTTGAATTTGAATAAATCTAAAGTACTGTGAGTTAAAAGTCTTTGTAACAATATGAGTTAAATCTTTTCTAGCATCACAGGGTGCTCTCCTCGATGGTGGATCCTAAAGATCGTTAAGCAGGAGAAAACACAAAGTAAACATGATTCAGTTTCCAATTGGGATGGGCAGATTTTCCTCTCTTCCTCTCTTCAAATTCCTGAACATGTGATGCTTTGACTATCCCTGTGGCTCCAATGGCTCCAATTGTCTTTACTTTTTGGAGTGTGCATTATTGGAAAGCATTTCAAGCCAGATCTTCGGGCCAAATTGAGGATAATGACTAATTGGGGTGTTGCCAAAACTACTTGTTCCATTTATTTACATCCTGTAATAAGGAAAGTAGTTTTAAAACAAAGGATATTGTTCGCATTTACAAATATGAAATTCTGATTTTTTTTTTAATTTTTTTTCAACGTTTTTTATTTATTTTTGGGACAGAGAGAGACAGAGTATGAACGGGGGAGGGGCAGAGAGAGAGGGAGACACAGAATCGGAAACAAGCTCCAGGCCCTGAGCCATCAGCCCAGAGCCCGATGCGGGGCTCGAACTCATGGACCGCGAGATCGTGACCTGGCTGAAGTCGGACGCTTAACCGACTGCGCCACCCAGGCGCCCCGAAATTCTGATTGTTTTAACACAACAATAAAAGTTATTGCTAGCAATCTTGGTTTGGAATAGCCCCTATCATAAAAAGTCTAGAGCTAATACCTCAGCTGATTTTAACATATGATCAATGAGATGAGAGTCTAGAATCCACCCTGATTACCAACTGACAAATGCATTCAGCTGGTCATCAGAGGACCAAGTCCCTATGGCTTTGCTGCCTCACTGCTTGGTCTGGACTAGGAAGTTCTGATGGTGTGGCTTTATCTCCTAGCCAGCTCCCACGGATTAGTCATAGCTCCTGGAGGCTGAATGAATCGGCACCTCTGGGGAGTGTGCAGGCATCAGTTAGTGATGTCTGCCAACAAGCACCAGGGCAGGGAGGAAGGGCAGCGTTCTCGCCCTGGGAGGGAGTCCGAGTATCAAAGTCAGAATCTTATCTCCATTTTCTCTCAGCCATGAGGTATCTTGGGCAAGATATCACCTGCTCCTCAACCTCAGCTCTCTCGTCTACAAAACACGGGCAACAAAAATTGTTAAGAAAATTAAAATTGATACTACACCTGAGAAAGAAATCTTAACTGCTGTTAATATGTCTTGGCCTATCCCAGTCTGGTGTTTCTCCCTTTAACTCATGGTATTTTAGTATTTCTGTCACCCTTTTGGCAATTAATTGCAAACCACCTGCCACCTGGTGTTAGTGCACTGTAGGACATCAGGTTCAGTTCCTGTCCCTTTCTGTACTGCCCACCCTTTCTGGTCCTGGCCTCTCCCGTCATAAGTGATCGGTAAGGGTCTATTTACTGAATGAATGTGAACCTGTTACTAATAGCATTTTTAAAAACTTTAAATGTTGTCAGATGAGTAGTAACTTTATTTTCTCTTTTATTCTTTATGTTATGTCTTTTTTATTTGGAGAGATGTGTTTTGTATTTTATTTTGGGAGGATTGTTACTATTTATATTCATGGGATCATAGGGTTTTTTTTTTCTCTCTCTCTCAAAGAATTTTCAATTGGGCTTTATTTTTAAGGAACTGAGCTCTTTTCTGTGTTCAGATAGCCCCATGGGCCAGTTGAAGAAGGCGCAGGGAGGTGGGCTTGGTAGATCAGGCACTGGGGAGGCTACTGACATCTCGGCAAGGGCCCCCTTTGGGCTGAGCTGGGGCATGGGGCTGGGCTCGCCCACTTCCTGTGCAAAGCACTGGCACTTTTTAACCCATCTCCTTCCTTCTTGAAACCCTCCTCCGCTCGCCAACCGCCCCCCCCTCCACCCCCCGCCCATCCTCTGCTGACACTGCACTCACAGCAGCATAGACTTAAATGATTTACTTAGTGATCCGCCCTGGCCACAGCTTCGAGCCATCCGGACTCAGCCTTCAGGGCTTTCTCTGTCCACAGCCCAATGCTTTTAAAATCTAGGTCTCCTGAGAATTGACTGTGCTTCCACACAAATCATATTGTCTAGCTTGCTAGAAAGTTCCTTGGCTTTCTGCTTATCGCTCCAAGAACAGTTAGTTCCCTATTGCTGCCGCCAAGCGTGTAAACAATCCTGTTTCTTCTTTCCCGGGTGACAGGCGCATCACATCGTGCTGAGCAGAAACCCCTCTCAAGAAGAGGCAGCAGTCTCTGCACATTTGGTCGCCCGCGCTGCCGTCGCTTCCGGGGGGATTGAACACCACGGTGAGCGGAAACCTTCTGTGGGCGTCGCACCTTGCCTGCGCCCTGCCCGTCCCGCACACGGGTCTGTGAACCAGCTGCCTTTAGGATGGGTGAACAGGTGGATGGACCTGTGACACAGGCCCCCCTGGAGAGCTTTGGCGGCTTTATGTGGTGGTCCTGAGCTGTGCCCCTGTGTTACTTTCACCAGAGTTCTCTGCTTTCTGTCCTGTTTAGCTTTTCTCTAACCTTTTACTTTCAAATACGGCGAATCTTCATCCAAGCAGAGCTGTGAAGAGCCCCCAGAGAATCCACGCTGGGCTTACAGGGAAATCTGCTCTCCTTTCAGAGGTGATCTATTTTTAAAGATTGCTGTGGAGCTGCTGTGGCAACAGATAGATCAGGCCTGTTGGAACCCCAGCCTACAGACTTTCACAGGACAGAGCTTTCAATCAGGATGAACTTTACATGGTTTCAGGAGTCCAAGAGGAAGTTGCCATTTATGAGTCATATGGTTTTTCTTAGCCCCATGTGATAGGTAGAGCGGTGAGCTTGGGGAGTTCTTTAATCTGCCATTCCAGACTCAGAGGATACAGTATGCCTCTAGTGATGGGGAACATGCATTCTGGTGGCTTATTTTTGGTCAGAATATTCAGAAACAGAGTATAACTCATAAAGGAGACCTAGGGGTATATTGCAAAATATCAGGTAAAAAATAATGATCTACTATAGTAAAATAAGGTCCAACGTGCCAGCAAGCCTAAAATGGAGATCCGGAATAGTTGGGATTCAGGGGGCAGAGCTGGGCTAGAAGGCAGAGGCTTCTAGCTGGAGGGTAGGCGGAGATGAAGGGAATACCAAAATGAGCAGCCTGGTGTGTAGAGATTTCTGGGCCAGGCAGGGGCTCCAGTCAGGGAGGAACTGGTGAAGGGGATATCAGGGTTTATCCATCTGTCCATCCTACCTTACAGACCCCTCGTTCTGGCTTCCTGGAGCTTTGAGCACCTTTTTGGAGCTGGAGCAGCGTATCTACAGATAGAGAAGGCAGGCAAACTTTCTGATCCTCTCTTTTTGGAACACACCATATATAACAATCGGCTTCAAAACCTTCAAAGGGTCAACAGTTTTTTGACCAGCTTTCTGGTGCTTAACATTATTTTTTTTTTTTTTTTAAATTTTTTAGTTGTTTGTTTTTTTTTTTTTCCTTTGAGAGACAGAGGGAGAGCAAGCACAAGTATGGGAGGGGCAGAGAGAGAGGGAAACATGGAATCATAGCAGGCTCCAGGCTCTGAGCTGTCAGCACAGAGTCCAACACGGGGCTCAAACTCAAAACCGTGAGATCATGACCTGAGCCAAAGTCCAGCGCTCAACCAACTGAGCCATCCAGGCACCCCAACATTCCTTTAATAGGGGAAGAGAATCTTCCATTCCCAACTATTAAGACAGTTAAGATGCAAACACACATTTGATGGAAATTCCTATGCTGGCAGGAGCCACAAATCTAAGTGCCTATAGGAACCACACAAGCAGTGTGAGCAAAATAGATAGCTATTACGATACAGTAGGAGCAGCAAGCCTAATCAGAAATGGCAGCTACTGTTGGTCGTAATACGAGAGAGACAACACAAAGTGTGAGGACTGTGGCAAACTGGAGAATCCCATGTGCTATTGAAAGTGAGCAGCTGTTACAGCTCCAGCCCGTTACTGTCATGTAGAAGGCAGGCTTAGAGGGCAGATCTGTTTTTCAAGAAAAGGCAGAAATCTAGGTTTTTCTGTGTAATTGTTGGTAACCAACTCAAACATGTTTCAGGCTCTGATCAGGCAAAGCAAGTGTGAGGGCAAAACACATGTAACTTCTGACCTGGAGAGCGTGCGTATAATGAATGGTTGTCAGAACCTTCCTGTTTTCCTCAGGCTCATGGGTTAAGACAACTGGAGGGTTCTGAGCATTTAAACTGATGAGGTGGGGGTGGCGGGAGTCTATTCCCTAGAGAATACCAAACAGCTAGAGGAAACTAAGGCTCAGAGAAAAGAGGAAGAGTTTCCAGCTCAGGAAACTAAGGCCTCTTTGCCTAGAGGGATTCTGGTTCACCAGCATCTCAGCTAGTTAATAAATGTATGGATTGGGTGAGGACCATAGAAATTGTGTCCTGAAATGTTTTTTTTTTCCTGTAGCTGCAAAGTTAGGCCACTCTGTTTTGCATGGTTTACAGAATCAGAGAATCCAAATACACACACACACACACACACACACACACACATATATATATTACATTTTTTAGTCTAAATATAGCATGGGTACTATAAATTGAGAATGACAATAATACCTACTTGATACATTTAATAAGATCTGTGAGACTTAGATGACCTCACACAGTAATAATAGTAATAATAGCTAATGCTTACACAGTGCATACTGGCATGGTTCTAATCAGTTACACTTCTTTAAAAAATTTTATTTATTTATTTTGCAAGACAGGGAGAGAGCATGAGTCGGGAAGGGCAGAGAGAGAGAGGGAGAGAGAATCCCAAGCAGGCTCCATGCGGCCAGCACAGAGCTGGACTTGGGGCTCGATCCCATAAACCATGAGATCATGACCCAAGCCGAAACCAAGAGTCAGATGCTTAACCGACTGAGCCACCCAGGCACCCCTAACCAGTTACATTTATTAACTCAATTAATCCTCACAACATTGTGAGGTTGATGTAAGTATTTCCAGTTTCTGATGGAGAAATGGAGAGATTAAGTAATTGCCCCAAGAGCACATATCCAGGGAGTAGCAGATTTGAACCTAGGCTCTTGACCTCCTTGTTACATTGTAAGGACTGACACTGCACATGCTCCCTTTTCTTCCTTGCCCCTCCCCACTTAGGCCTACGGAAGAGCCTATGGCATTTGGGACAGAGGACATGGGAAGAGCAGAGGCACGCAGAAAGATGGATTTGGAGAGCCAGTGGGAAGGGGCCAGTCCAGGAGTACGCACAGGCTTTTAGCACCTCCCCTCTGCCTCTGGTGGCCTGAACCCCACAAACTGACTTGCCGGTCAGAATTTGAAATATAGGAAGAGTGTAAAGATGGAAGAAAAGTTCCCCCCAGGAGCAGGGAGATACAATTGAAGATGCAATACAGATTAGGGAAGGGGGTTACTTCTGCTTGAGCTTTAGGGGATTGGTTGCTAGAAACATAGGGCACAGAGCCTCAGGAGCTCAGAGGCGGCAGGAATCATGGTAAGAGTAATGTTAGTGACAACAGTAGTGGGAATTGAGCTTGCCTTGTGTGCAGGTGCTGGAACTCTCATACACGTGCTCATTTAATCCTTTTAATAAGCCTGAAGGCGGGATGTGACCTCCCATTCTGCAAATGAGCTAACACAGCCAGCTCGCCATACCTGCAAATTCCATCAGTCTCTATTCTCTGAACTCATTGCTCTACCCAGAAAGACCACAGCCCCTATCACTCTGTGGGGTGCTCCTAGACACGCCCTTCTCTAATCAGAGGAGACTTGAAATGGCCATCACCTTGATGCCTTTAGGAAGAAAGTTTACCGCAGCCTTAAAGGGGAGTCAGCGCTAAGTGGGGTTGGCAGTGGAACTGCAGGATCAGAACAGCTGCTTGTCAGGCAACACCATGAAGCCCTAGGACAGGTGCAGAGACGAGCACCCGCCCTGGTCTCTAAGGCCTCAAAAGACCATCTAAATGGGCACATCAGGAATGAATACAAGCACGGAGAAACCCCAAGCTATTCCTAATGTGTTAACCTGTTTGAAAACTGCTGTCAGGGGCGCCTGGGTGGCGCAGTCGGTTAAGCGTCCGACTTCAGCCAGGTCACGATCTCACGGTCCGTGAGTTGGAGCCCCGCGTCGGGCTCTGGGCTGATGGCTCGGAGCCTGGAGCCTGTTTCCGATTCTGTGTCTCCCTCGCTCTCTGCCCCTCCCCCGTTCATGCTCTGTCTCTCTCTGTCCCAAAAATAAATAAACGTTGAAAAAAAAAAAAAAAAAGAAAACTGCTGTCAGAATCCTTGTTCTCTCGGTGGCAAAACGTGCAAAAGGCCGTGGAGAGTGAACTGACCATTCGGCAATTTTGAGACACAGAGTTTGTTCTGGCTTTTACCCACGGTGCCTAAGTGCGGTGTGGGCTGAGGGGGCCCGTGTTACATGAATGGAACCAGCTTCCCTTTGGAAGCAGGAGTGAACTGGTCCCCACCCAGCCAGGAGCCACAGTCCCACTGTCTTTCAGGGTGCCTGGTTCTCATGTCATCTCTGTTACCCCCTCTCAGTCCAGTCCCCCCACAGTGGGAAAGAAGGGAACCCACCCAGGGCTGGGGGTTCCCCAGGCCTCTGCTGCCTCTAGCAAGAAGAAAGAAAGGGGAGCATTTGGTACTCATCTTGTCTGACAAGTAAGGGGATACCAATCCCCCCCAAATACACACACACACACACACACACACACACACACACACACACTGGCTGGCTTTCACCCAGGGTGGCAGGACTGTGACCTGGACATTAGTCACTTTTAGTTCAGAAATCCCAGCCAGATCCCCTGGGAGCAAACCCACATGGTCTACCAAATGCTAAAGAAATCCACATGCATGGGGACCACAGCTCTGCTTTCCTGTGCTTAAACCTGTCTGTGCAGAGCACACTTTTTTTTTGTTTGTTTGTTTTTAAAGAATCATTAATGAGAAACATTTCTCATCTGGGGATTCTCCGTAGCCTGCTTGCTAAATGCCCATGGAAGGCATTGCCCTCTGACAAACGAAACGCCACTGGCCAAGAAGCTAGCGTGTTTCAGGCTCCATGCTCCAGCTAATCCCTTTGCTCTGTGCCTTTCCTGCATTCCTTATGCAGACAAAACTGCCCTAGAAGTCACGAAGGATTGCGATTGCATAAGGACTTCCAATTCAGGCTCCTGGAATGTCACTAACCTGAGCCTGGCCCGCTTCCCGGAGCAGCCATAGACAAACTTGGTATTAACAGCTCTCCCAACCCTGCGAAGTGTTCAGGGCATTGGCCTTGTGTTT